TACTGAACATAAAATAACATAAAGTACGTTGAGGTTTAACTGATGTGTCAAATACAGTCTCGAGAGTTCTAGAGCTTCCGTGCAGCGGCAATAAGACACAACCTAGGGCCCTTCAACTTTTCACTCTCAAAGTAAAACCCTTATAACAGAGAAAACCTTGACTGCCACCAAAGACAATCCCCGTACATGAGCAGATTTCCAGTAGAACGCAGAAAGAATCCACTCCCCCCAACTTCACAGTTTCTGTGGGCAGTATTTTCTGTAAGCATCTAACTGAAAGTAAAGATTCTGAAGCTTAAAAAGAAGACAAGTTCTCTCCTTCAAGCCAAGGAAGCCCACAAAGTTTCAAGGAAAAGGTGGGGTACTTCCCATCTCGTATCACTCAACCAGTCTGGGAATTCAACATGCAGTTAAATGCAGTTACTTATCTGTGATATTAAAAATAATCTTCTACAAGAAAAAGCAGAAATTCAAAGTCACAGAATTTTTTGGTAGTTTTTCCAGACTTACCGGGAAAAGGAACATTCATGTCTGCATGCAACATTTCAATGAGTTGTGCAGTCTTAGATCCCGGTGCAGCACACATATCTAGAATCTACAAACACCAGAAAGTTAAAAAAAAAACAGTCCTACCTTGTATTTTTTAAGTACTTGAGAAATTTACTATGTGTTCTAGTTTAAATTAAATACTTTTGCATACACTTGCAGAATTATGAATGTTCTGAACACCAATTTGCAAAAACATAAAATACAGTTCTATTCTTTGTATGCTTTATCTCTGAGGGTCTAAAATATAAAAAGGACTTTAGTCTGTAGGGAACAAATACATCAGCTGAAAAAAAAATTTGAAAGAGAAATCTGCATATAGATATGAGGATATGGTCCTTTTATGAGTTCACAAGCAATTCGGACTGAAGTTAACTGGAACTTTATATATACACACACATACAAAGAGCAAAGTTACATTCAAGAGCAAGTAGTACTTTAACTGTCAGTAAATTAATCAGACACTGACACAGTTGAACATATAGATTTTGTAAAAATGAGCTGCTGCCCCTCCCCATACATTTGCATTTTAACGCAAAAAATCAGGGCAGCATAAACTGCTTGTTTCTATATGCTAGAAGAAGCACTTGGGAAGTATTCGAACCACCCTCAGGCAGCAGAACAGAACAGCACACCAACACCTGATTTCTAGCATATTTCTCCCTCCCGGTTCATTACGAACTTGGCTTGTGATCGTGTCATTCATAGAGACGCTCTCTCAGCAAACCATTTGACAGCTAACACTCTTAAGCAAGGAAGCTCATAGTCTTTCCTCTTGCCTAGTTAACAGATTTTCAGAAACATATGACTACCTCCTAGACCTTTAGCTCCAGTAAAAGTTAGCCAAAATCGTGCAACAAGATAAAAGATGGGGACAGATCTGCTCAGATCCTCGTGCAAGCCCCTGGCATGAACAAGACTAAACCGGAAGATAGACCCCAGAGAAACGCAAAGAGCATTTACTGAGAGCATGTGATAAGCGCTGCCATGCAGCAGTGTTAATGCATCATGAAACACACTCAGTAAGACGGTGTTGTATCTGCCATTTAAAGTAATGCTACTGGTTTCTGCTTACTGAACACAACTACAGAGAGGCTGGGCCGTCATCAAGCTGATCTTTGTGTGAGACGGGAATCAGCATGTAAGACACAACGTACAGAACATGCTGGTTAAGCATGAAAAGCAACCTGCAATTCTGGTTATAACAAACAGCTCAGAAAATAAGGCACTAAGGACCATAAAAGGTCCTAAACGGCAACAGCCAAGGCATCATTACAGCAGCTATTTGCTGTCTTGTCAAAAGAGAAGCTAAAGAACCTATTCTGAGTCTGATTTATGAGCAAATTTTGAAACCTTACACGCATTTCTGTAAAGTGCTCGCTGAAATACAGTGACCAAAGTTAAACATTCAACGTAAAAACTGTATACTGCTAGCTTAGTATATGCAATATAAGTAAGGTGTGTGCAAAAATATTCTCACAATTTGTGTTTCATATTAAGCTGAACACACTCACTACCTGTTCCAACTCAAAAAAACCCTCAAAATGCACCTGTGACACATTAGGACTGAACATAACACTGAATTCATTATTCATTTAAGAGAGATGAGAAGACCTTGCCTCACGTAAAATAGCCATCAACCTTGTGTCATACATTGGGTTGAGGTGAGAGCAGGAGAGAACAAACTGAAAAGTTATGGATGCTAAGTAACATTAACATACAAAAACAAGTAAGTACAAACAAGTCTGTAAAATATGTAGGCCAGAAGTTTGAAAAACTTAAAATTTTAAGATACAGCATGAAAATTTTAAGAAAGAAGTGCACAACGTGCCTGCTTGACGTAGCAAGGCACTTCTAACTAGCTCATTAACTTAACAGATTAAGAGAGTAAGGCCACCTGACAGATTAATTCTGCAAACAAGCATAGAGTATGAAAACATCACTAAGGTTAGAACAGGAAGTCTGCTATCAAGGTAGCCCCATTCCTCCAATCTGCCATTAGAAAATATCACGGGCATTCCTCAGATGCCTCAATTAAAAAAGTTAGCAACCGATACTCTTCAGCCACCACCAACAGCATGTTTCAGCTCACCCAAATTATTTTGCCTAACATTTATAGAGCAGAAGTTTGCAACTCCTTCAAAAGGCATAGAGGGGTGAAAACTACGTGGTAGAGAACTTTGTCATTTGGATGTGGAAAACTACATCTGTTCACAGTGTGATGGGCAGCAGGAAGTTAAAAACAGACATCTTACTTTAAAAGGGGGTTGAAACACAAACACATAAATGAGATGCAACTCAATACATTTACACTTTGAAAGTAAGATTATGCAACTACTTAAAACCTAAGTGTTTTTTACAGGGTATTACATATAGCTTGAAAAGCATTTGTTCCTCTGACAGGGTATTTGTGATCTGAACACCAGCTGACTGTTGCCGTTTACATGCAGAAAGCACAAAACAGCAACACAAACCAGAAATGTGTATCAGCATTGATACTACTGTTGTAATTTGTAGTTTAATCAAACTATCTTCTAGGAAAAAACTCTAGTACACTGTATGTTCCTGAGTTACCTTATGATGAGGGTCAACATTAAGCAGCAGAGGTGGGATCATGCTAACAGCCTCCTGACGACTGATATTTCCCTTGAAAGAAAAAAAAACCAACAAAACCAAACTCCTTTATATTCCACAAAAGAATGCATTTCTTTTGCAATAAACTGTTTAAATCTCTCTATATTAAATTAATAAAGCAATTGAAACCACAGTTATAAACTTAGGATTATATTTTATTAGCATTTAACAAAAAAAACCCCACCACGCAGTATTTTGCCCAATTGAAATTTCTGGAAATTGCATATTTGCTCCAATTCTATTAAATCTACGGATGCAGTTTCTGCTCAAAAGAGATGAGAAACTGGCTTCAACCAAGTGAGAAATATCCGTCACAAAAGGTAAGTCTTGTTATGCACGCAGGTGTGCTTTTTACCAGGTTTAAACATCCATCTTCTAACAGCAACTAACTGTTTTACAGGAGCTCACTTTCACATTTCCAAATAAAAAGAACTGCAATTAGTTTAGGAGAAATATTTGTAACTGCAGCTATGTGCCAGAGCTGTGGGCCAAATTGCTGCCAACAGCGCCCTAAAATTCAGGTTCTTCTGAGCCGCTCGGCTTCTGAGAGAAAAGGTACGTCCTCAGCATCTTGCAACACATTTGAATAAAACACTGGTTGGGATATAAAAGAAAAAAAAATATAAAAAACCCCATCAAGATCTATCGAAAACTTACACATTCCGTCTCGCTAACCAGAAACTGATGAAACTTTTCCAGTTGCGGTGACTTGCGTAGGATCTTCCTGCTGAGGTTGGTGTGCCAGGCTAACTCCTCTGGGTACCTGGCGGGGGGAAGAGGGGCAGAGGCGAAAGAAAAGCGACAGAGCAGGAAACGGATTCGCCAGGCTGGCTATGGGGCAGGGGCGAAGGGGAAGGGTGTTCCCCCCCCCCTTACCAGCTCAGCGGCTGCGGCATCTCCACCTTCTGGCCGTCCACCTCCAGGCCCCGCAGCTCCCCGAAGTACTTCTCCTTCAGGCAGTGCAGAACCTCTCTGGCGTGGCTGCGGGGCAGAGGCACACGCACACCCGCGGGAGGCCACGCACCCACTCCGGGCGGCGGCCCGCCGG